AGCTGCTTAACTACTGTGTTAAGGGAGGAAAAATGAAGCAGAGAAGGGGTGATGGTCTACTAGAGCAATGATGGGTGGAGGCCAGCGAAGACGAAGAACAGAGATGAAATGATAGGAGGTTATGCTCAGATACAAGATATTCAGAGTTCTTATTCAAAGGTGGTGATGCTAGAATCAAGTATGTGGCCGCCTTTGTGAATGGCTGGTGGAGTGAAAGAGAAAGGTCACTGGGAGCTGACAAAACTGATTAGCTGGGAGGCCAAATCGTGTGAGGGAATATCAGCGTGTACGCTGAAGGCTCTTAGTATAAGGGACAGCGGTGACGGCCGTGAGGTTGGTTACTGAATTCCTTGAGAAGGACCCACTGTACAAAGGCAGCATGGCGAGAACTACGGCTAAATAACTGCTTCTGTGCAAAAAAGATTGGTGTTGGGTCCGTGAGCTAAATAGGAGCCAACCACGTGATGTGGCAGCCAGAAGAGTGGATATGATCTTCCGTGTCACTCAGAGAAAAATAGCGTCCAAAACATCTACTCCATCCAGCGCTAAGCGGACTGTGTAAATCTACGATGTTAGGGCTAGTTCTGGGCACCACATTTTAGAAAGGACACTGTTAATTGGACACGTCAAAAAAAAGGTGGTGATAAGGGTCTCTGGGACCATCCTGTATAAGGATTGGCTGAATGAACTTTAGCCTGGAAAAGAGATTTTAGCAGGGATGATGATTGTAGCTATCTCATATCTGAAGAGAAGCTACGTGGAAGACATCTGTTCTGTTTGGTCTGAGAGAGCAAAACTGGAAATAATGATCAGAGAAACAATGGTGAAGTGTGACTCCCACCTCTTGGCAGAGAGATAGTGGTAAGGGGCAGCTAGGTGGCAGAGTGGATAAAGTCGGAGTCAGGAAGACCTGAGTTCAAAGACGGCCTCAGATATTTTATTAGCTGTGTGACCCTGGGCAAATCACTTCAACCTGTATGCCTCAGTTTCCTCATCTGTACAATGAGCTGGAGAAGGAAATGGCAAACCACTCCAGTATCTCTGCCAACAAAACCCCAACTGGGGTCATGAAGAGGCTGACATCACTGAAAAACTGAACAGCAACAGCAGTCCCGCTGTGAAATGGGCTGCCTGTTCATTTGTAGAAGACAGGGTGGAGAAGACTCCTGTTTAGCTGAGGCTGCACTAGGATCAACTCTGAGTTCCCTTCCAAGGCTGTGACTGAAGTTCTTGCCAGTAAGTTTTCTTTCATTTGTTTGCCATCACTGACTTCAATAGAACCATAAAATGCATCTAGTACTTGACACATTTTGTGCTACTGAACCATGATGCAAAAGGGAACAAGAATGCAAGATCTTGTGACATTCTGAGAAGATTTTCCATGCTGTAGGTGCTAGAGATAAACATTACACTGTGTTATAGGGCATGGTGGTGTGGACCTATAGTCAGTCCCTGCTAATAATGGGGAAGCTGAGGCTGGGAAATCACGTGGATTCAGAAGTTTTAAGCTGTAATAGGCCTAAAGCTGGCTGGATTTCCACACTAAGTTAGGCAGTACCCTAGGGGGAGGAATCTAGTGAGGGTGGAGTGGGTACCAGGCTGCCCAAGGATTAGCAATGAGGTTAGCCTTTGCGTAGCTGCAGCACTTCCAGTCTCAGTGAGATAGAGAGGCAATCTCTTCCCTCTCCCATCCCCCAAAATGTGTATAACATCAGAGTTTTTCAATGTATTGAATGGTTTTGCTGACTTTTTTTTCTAGTTCTTTGTTACAGGGATGGTTATTTTGGAGGGTGAGGGAGTAAGCTATAGGTGAAGAGGCAGGTGATACAAAAACAAGAGAGAGCAATAAAAATCTACTTTAAAAAGAATACAATGTGTGGGGGTGTAGTATTAGTGAAATTTATAATCTGATAGGCCTGCCCAATTAGGCATCATTTTGCAATGTGAATGCAGCAGGTCGGAAGGTCATCAACTTGGCAATGAAAACTAAGTGTCTATAACAAAAACAGCTCACATTCATAAGGTGCACTATAATTTACAAAGTGCATTACACACAGTGTGTCCTTAATCCTCTGCAAAGACCTAGTGAGGCAAACTGGAATTATCATCATTCCCCTTTTTAGATGAGGCATTTGATGCTGACTTCTCTAAAGCTATAGAGTAGCAGGTCCCAGATTTCAACTCAGATGTTCTAATTCCAAATTCAGTGGGCTCTACACTATACCACCCCATCTCCACCTTACTGCAGTTATCATTCAGTCGATTCAGTCATGTATGACTCTTCATGACTCTATTTGGAGTTTTCTCTAAAGACACTGGAGTGGTTTGTCATTTCCTTCTCTAGCTCATTTTACAGATGAGGAAACTATGGCAAATAGTGTGAAGTGACTTGCCCAGGGTCATAAAGCTATTAAGTGTCTGAGGCCATCATTTCTAAAATATAGAGAATTAAGACAAATTTATAAGAACACAAGCCATTCCCCAATTGATAAATGGTCAAATGATATGAACAGACAGTTCTCAGATGAAGAAATTAAAGCCATCTATAGTCATATGAAAAAAATACTCTAAATCACTATTTATTAGAGAAATGCAAATCAAAACAACTCTGAGGTACCACATCACACCTATCAGATTGGCCAACATGACAAAACAGGAAAATGATAAATGCTGGAGAAGATGTGGGAAAATTGGAACACTAATACATTGTTGGTGGAGTTGTGAAATGATCCAACCATTTTGGAGAACAATTTGGAACTATGCCCAAAGGGCTACAAAAATGTGCATACCCTCTGATCCAGCAACAGCACTTCCAGGGCTATATCCCAAAGAGATCAAACAAATGGGAAAAGGACCCACATGTACAAAAATATTTATAGCAGCTCTTTTTGTGGTGGCAAAGAATTGGAAATTGAGAGGATGCTCATCAACTGGGGAATGGCTAAGCAAGTTGTGGTATATGAATGTAATGGAATACTATTGTGCTATAAGAAATGATGAACAGGCTGACTTCAGAAAAACCTGGAAAGACTTGTATGGTCTGATGCTGAGTGAAGTGAGCAGAACCAAGAGGACTCTGTACACAATAACAGCCATGTTATGCAATGACTAATATTGTTAAACTGAACCCTTCTCAGCATTGTGAGGATCTAAGACATCTCCAGAGGCCTCGGGATGGAAAATGCTGTCCACATCCAAAGAAAGAACTATGGAAGTCGAATCGCTATCACTCATTTTTACCTTCTGTTGAGTTTTGTTTCATCTTTCTGATGGTTCCTCCTATTGGTTTTAATTTTTACTTACAACTTCACTAATGTGAAAATATGTTTAATGGGTATGTAAATGTAAAGCCTGTATCAGATTGTGCGCTGTCTTGGGGAGGAAGGGGGAGAAAAATTTTCAACTCAAAAGCATATGGAAGTGATTGTTGATAAATCAAAATAAATTAATAAAATTTTTTTAAAAAAGTGTCTGAGGCCAGATTTGAACTCAGGAAGAGTTCAGGCCCAGAATTCTATCCACTGTGCAACCTAGATGCCCTCCTGTATCCATATCTGTCAATTTGATACCTAGTCAACCATTCTTCCTGAATTGAGCTATTTATTTGGGCACTATATTTCTAGGTAAGACATTAGAAAACTATATCAAGAAAGTCCTCATGTCTTTTGTTATGCTGGCACAGGTAAGACAGCATTGAAAGCTGGACCAAACAAAAGGCCTATAAAGTACAATCATACTTATTTGACACTATTACACAAGTATAATATATGAACCTGCAATGGCTGTTATATTCAGATTTTGGGGAAAAAGTCATCAACAAAAAACAATTACAATCAACATTAATGACCTATCCAAAATGTTCCAGAAAGATTGAGGAGTTCTGGTTATCCATGGGAATTTTCATCTTATTTATCTCTAATCATTTTTTAAGATTGGTAGTAAAAAGTAATTAGATGATCTCCATACGTGAAAGTGATTTCTTTATGGTGATATAAAGATAGACATATTCTCACAAGATTTACAGAAAAAATGCCCCATCACATACCAAAATCAATGTGATATACTGAAACATATAATTATGGCTAGAAAGTGATGGTGTGAAATCTAAAATAGGTTGGACTAAACTTTCACCAGCATCCAGGAAATAGAGTTATGGCCACCAGGGCAAAGGTCATTAACCACAGCATCCCCTCATCCCCTCAATCTGTGGTCTGGACTGTAGGTCCCTCTCATTCATCACTTAACACTAATGCACACAAATAATAGCACCTTAGGATAAAAAGGACAAAGAACCAAAGCAAGTCACATGAGACACAAACAAGAGATTGGGAAGAATGCTATTTTATCACACACAACTCTTCAAGTTTGCTTTTTACAGAGTCAAGAATCTATTTTCTTGTGCAGAGGGCATGTAAGCATGAACTTACAATGATTGATAAAAACCAGTCTTGGAGTAATTGAGTTGATAAGAACCAATCTCAGAGTAATTGAATGTTAAAGGATGTATTCTTGCTAGCATTTTATTTTCTATCAAAAGCAATAGAGACTATTTTTAAAAGAGAGCTTAAAATGGAATCAAGCTTTCTTCATTCTAATGGAGACCACTTGTCCAATGTGGGACTCCTTCTCATCAATAGCCTCAGCCTCAGGGGGAACCAGATGGTAACGAGTACAACACTCCTTCTGTCAGATTTCCCTAACCCACCACCTGCTCACGTCCCAAGGATCTCCCTTTTCCAAGGAATGTGGGCCTTGGCTGCAGGACAGACATAGATGCTCAGACCCAATGCCATCAGCCTGCTGCTGCCCCCTTAAGGGCCTTTGCATCCACCCTGTATCTGAACTCTCTCTCTTTCCTTTAAGTGTAAACTGAGATCTGGGATATTTAGCTTTTTTATTTGTATTCCCATTACTTAGTACAATATTTAACTCACTGTATATGCTTAATAAATGATTTTTTAAAAAAAATCCCTTTCCATATTCTACTTCAAGACACTTACCTGGTGCTGTTTTGTAGCATACTGCTCTGGAGGGCAGAGTAGGGGCATTCTTCACCCTGGGGCTCTGTGTTGTCTGTAAGACTTGCCTCTGCCTCTTCAGTTCCTCTTCTCTCTCCTGGGCTGCTCGAATCTCTTCTTCTATCATGGACAAAGTCCTCTGCTTCCTTGACCTTAGCTTAAAGGGTCCCACCGTCACCTCTGATTCTTGAGTGGCCAAGAGGGAAGCTGTACTCCTCAGCTCAGCTGCCTCTGAATACTTGCTAAAGTAGCTACCTTCTGGCCTGCTCTCCTCGATGTGAACTGGATGAACAGGATGAATGACGGGGAATTGCTGGGGAGCCATCTCTTCCCTGAGTTCTCTGTCTTCGGCTGTCATTATCTTTGGTAACACATCTCTTTTTTCTTGAACAGGAGAAGACACTTGAGGTGGTTTAAATGTGCTCTGAGGCTTATTTGAGCTGGGAGCCACTGCCCCAACTTTGTCCTGGGCTTCCCCTGGGCAAGTCTTTTGTTCAGCTGGGTCCTTGTTTGCTTTGGAAACTGCTCTGTCAGCCTGCTCAGCTATGGCTTGTTGGATGGCATTCTGCACCAGAAGACCAGCATGATATTCCAGTGGGTCATCCGCAAGCAGGGAATCTCCGAGCATAGAGGATGGGGAGTAGAAACCATGGTCGCTGAATGACTTGGACACTCCTTCAGCTCGTCCCTCAGAGGGCATATCAGTCTGGGGGGTCTGGGGCAGAGAAAAATCTGTCAAGGAGTTTTCCTGAAGGGCATTCATTGTCTCATTGGATGCACCACTGTCACTGAGGTTGTCCATGCTAAAGTCATTGGACAGGGTTTCCAGCACCGTGGTGCCCTGAGACCTCACTGACAGCTCCTCCAAACCGGAGTCCAGCTCCTCTGGGGGAGAAGAGACATAGACTGATCTCGTAAATGGATCTAAGATGCCAGGGTCCTCATCCTTCACCACTGTGAAGACAGCCCGGGCACTTGTAAACTCACCCTCCTCTGCCCACAGCTTGGCTGACGGCACATGTTTTGAAGCGTCAATACAGGGAGATTCCTTTTCTGGGTTAACTGTACTGTTCTGGCCTCCTAAAAGCTGGTTCTCTGGAACACAGGAGCCCTTCTGTTCCTTAGCTGCAACTGTCCCATCATCCTCCATCCGCCCCACAACTGGAACTGGTCTTGTGATGGCGGATGGCTTATCTGAGTAGCTGGAACCCAAAGGTCTATAAAAGGGTTTGATGGAAAATAGTCTGGGTGCTCCCTGGCCTCTGGCTCCTGCTTGCCTGGAATTCTCCATCAACTGAAATTGCTTCCTCGCAGCAGAGAAATCTATTTGCTCTGTGACAACATCCTCCTTCAGACCACTGGATGGGTCTGGAAGTTCAAAAGGGCACACTGTCTGTTTAGGGGAAGCTGGAATTGGAGAAGACTGCGGTGGCAGCTGCTGCTGCTGCTGCTGTTGTTCCTGTTCCTGCTGCTGCTGCTGCCTCCTCTCCTTGCGTTCCTTATACTTTTTATGTGACTCTAGTGGCTCATCATCCAGTTGCTCCTCTAGGGTCTTCTCCTGGGGGGGGTTCCACCATTTGGCTGCGATAGCAGGATTTTTTTTCACTGCTTGACTCCGGATTAGTTCTCGCCTCTCTTTTTCTAGCTCCAGCATCTCTTCTGATGGCCTTACTTTTCGGACCCTGTACATTTCCTTCTCGCTGCTGTCATCCTCAAAAAGTCTGGATGGCTTCTTATCCTCGTGGAAGGCACGCAATTCAAATTTCGCTTCTTTCTTCAGAGTGGTGAGAGTGGTCTCCCCATCTCGAAAAGACCCTTTTGAACTGGTTGAAGAACTGGGGCTCACAGGGGCATGAAGGCCATCCCCAAGTACCTCCCTCTGCCCATCTGGAGAGTGACCATTTGCCCTGAGGGTTTCTGCCATGATTTCACCTTGGCTCAGCTCGATGAGAGGAGGCTGCCTGCCAACAATGAGTACTGCTTCCCTCTCAGTGGGTTCTAAGTGGTTTGTTGTGTGAACAGATGGAGCTGGGCTGCCTACAGTGATGGTCACGCTGGGCTCTGGTGAAGATGTCCCGTTGTAAGTCACATCAGCAGCGGAGTCATAACAATTGGCCTCTAACACTTCATCTAGATACTGGATCTCTCTAGCCACCTCATTATCCAGGGATTCATGGTGGTCTGAGATGAGGCCATTATGAGGTGAATAAAAAGGGGAGGAACTGTCCATGGAATGTGATGCTGAAGAAACCCCAGAAACACTTTTACATTCTGCAATGGGGATTTCAATTTCCATGTTCTTGTTGCTGGGGGGAAGAATGCTGGTGGGAGGTTCCAGCAGATTGGCACTATAGTGATCTCCACCTTTTGTCAATCTGATGTCATCCTCAAGAAGCTTGTGAGGTTTCTAAAATAAAGAGAAAAGAAAAAGAAAGGCCTGAATGAGATGCCTCCATTATCTGACTATGCCACATAATTTTGTAGAAGAGCTGCTGAAATGGCCAGAACATTTTTCTCCTTCTAATCTTTCAGTCATCCCTATTTTTTGCTCTCTGTGGGAAAATAGATATATTTGAGACATAAATAATATCCAGTGTTTTGTGTACATGAATTATATATTAGATCTAAGACTTGAATAGCATTCAAATAGTTTCATGGTTTAAGTATTATTAACAGGAGTTAATAATTTGGTTAATATTAGTTAATTAGCTAACTTCATAGTTTATTGGTTAAAGAGCTAATGTTTCAGTTGAAGGAAATTTAGTGTGAGGCAAGGGAAAAGACCACTGGATTTTGAGTTAGAAGGCCTGGGTTCAAACACTGCCCTGGCACTTACTATCCTTGGGGCTCTGGGGGACTCACTCAATCTCTCTAGTCCTCAATTTGCTTATTTCTGAAGTGAGGAGTTTGGACTAGATAAGTTCTCTAAGCTCTTTTCAATTCTAAATACATGATTGTAGAAGAGTAGTTATTTCTTTGAGAAATCTTTTCTTTTTCTGAATAAACACAACATTTCGATACAGGTAGAAAGCCAGAAAACCAGAACATGTACATGAAACCACAAATATACTGCATACACCTTATTCCTTTTAATAGAGACAGTTAAGTGACACAGTGGACCTGGGTTCAAATCACTTATTGGTTCTGTGACCCCGAATTTTATAAGGAGGATTTTGTTATTCTTTTTACATAATAGTTCCAGGATCCTAGATGGTATTTCCCACGAATTACTGTTGAAAACATGTCTACCACACTTGCGCAGTGAAATATAGGGATGACATAATGTACGCCTGTGCTGTGCTAGGTCATGACGAAATTGTTAAAGTTAACCTGTGAGCTTAATGTTGGCAAGATGCCTTCTTTGTTGTCCTATAAAGCAAGTGGGCCCTGGTCAGGGAGTGGGGGACCCCTTTAGGGGTGAATGCACAAGCTGGAATGCTGTGTGCGTCTTGATTGGCCCCCATCAAGGCTTGGGAGGGGGAATCTGTGTGTTTGCCTCAACCGGAAACCCATAGAGGCTTGAGGAAAGTGCACTAGTTGTACTTGTCTTGATTGACCCCATCAAAACGGAGGGGTTACTGCCCCCCCCTTCACATCGATGCCTGTGAGAAGGGTTGTTAAGGAATGCTGTAGAACTTGGTGCTCCCATTATCAGCAAACTCCCTTTGAGAAGACTAGACTAGAATAAGCTTATTTAACCTCTTATTATGACTCCATTCCTGTCTTCCTGTCTGACCAGATCAAAAGTGAACCTGCTAGCGAGAGAGGTGCTAGAAGCCCCCCTGTGTCTCCTACCTAAGAAATGGCGTAGTCAAGTGTGTTTACTTGTCCAACACTAGGGAAGTCACTTCACTTGTTTCCTAGTCTGTAAAATGGGGATGATATCTACATCCCATGGTTGTGGTGAGGATCAAATAAGGTATTTGTAAAGTGCTACATAAATGCCAGCTATCTCTGTTATTATTATTTAACATACAATAAATTTAATGTGGTAGTACCAACACAGCCCAGCTTATCTGTGTCCTTCCCCCCTCCCTACCTTGGGTTACCTCTATGTATTTTTTAAAGATTTCACTGGTATGCTTTTCTTTGTTCCCCCACAACCCTTGTTTTTTTGTATCATAATCACTACTCCTTTTACTCTTCTCCACCCCCTGTTAAAAAAAAATGCCTCCATTATAGCAAAAACATAGTCAAGCAAAACAAATTTATGTTGAAATGTTCATATCTGGAAAAGTATATCCCGTCGTGTCCCTACAGTCCATCACCTCTCCACCAAAAGATGGAAGGCTTGCTTCATCAGGCTTTTCGAGTTAATGATCAGTTATTGCACTGTCCAAAGTTCTTAAGTCTTTCAAAGTTATTTCTTTTACTAAGTTGTCATGATATAAATAAGTCTCCTGGTTTGGCTTACTTCACTCTACATCAGATCATACAAATCTTCCCAGGTTTTCCTTAAGCCACTCTTTTCATTATTTCTTAGGACACAGTAATATTCCATTACCGTCATGGACAATCATTTTTTTTTAACCATTTCTCAATTGAAGGGCACCCTACTCCCTTTTGTTTTTAGTTCTTTGCTACAACAAAATGAACTACTATAGACATTTTTACACATGGCTCCTTTTTCTTTGATCTCTTTGGAGATATGTAAATATTTCTATTTCTAATTTTTAAGAAGGGAAAGTAATTCTGGAAAACTGCCACCCCAAGTTGGGGTAATATAATATAGTTCTACTATCCAAGAAATATTTTTAAATGGGAAGTAATTTTTAAAAATGTTATATTGTTGTTATTTGTTATGTAACAACATTCTTTTTCTTCAAATTCTGAGTTCCAAATTCTCTCCCTTTTCCACCCACTGAGAAAGCAAGCAATCTCATTATTATATTATATTACATATATATATATATATATATATATATATATGATTATGTATATGTGTGATTATAACTATACAGGTCCGAAGTCATGTGAAACATCTTCATGAAAACCAATTATAAATATTTAGAACAGATGTCATCAATACTATTTGCTGATCTCAAAAGAAGTGACACAATTCAAGACCGACCTTCATAGACTTGCTGATACTTGCAAAGTGGGATACAGATGTAGTTTTTATTTTCCTCACTGTGAGAAGAAATGCCACTGAGTTTAAAAATCATAACCTCTCAAGAAGGTCTAGCCCATTTTTGTCTGTGGAATCAGACCCTTTTTATGAGCTAGATTTAATGCAGGAGGCAAGGAATTTAAAAATGCCACCCAAAAGAAACCATCTGAAAATAGCACAAGGTTAAAATGAATGGTCCCTTTACATCTAGAGAGCCCTTTTGACCTTGCTCTATTTTATATATGTACTGTTAATACCAAAACTCAAGTCACTAGACAAAACTGTTCTGTTTTCCCCTCCTTGCTAACTTTTATGGTCATTATTTTTAGTAGCAAATCAGATTACAGGGAGGAGGGCCTGCCTGTAGTTTCTAAACTCTTCCATGTTTAATTATTTTAAATGTTTGGTTATATAAGCATATTCATACAAAATAGTGCTACTCAATATACTAGCAGTTTTCTATTATTCTTATTTCTATTAAAATTTGTATATTGAGTTTTTTGTGGTGGTTTCTCACAGGGGAATGAATAATTTTTAAGATCAGTTTTCATCCCATGTAATTTTGAGATTTAACCTGAAGATATATTTTTAAATTCCAAGTCTAATTTCTCCATGTTAAAGGACACCAAAATATCTGTGTGGTAATTACAGAAACAAATTCAGTTCTTTGAAGTAGGCCCTCCTCCCAAACCCAAAATGTATCTCCTATCCCATCTAACTTCATTTTCTCTTTTATAGGGTTTTTAGTGTCACACGCATTTATTACCCACGAGTTCAGGCAAATTTTATGAAAAAAGAAAAACTGAGCAAAAACATCTGACCCATAGTGTGACCACAGATAATCATTGAACAATATTCTGTTTTAACTAGTCTTTTGCCTCTCTTTCTGTAGCTATTATAGAATGGCTCTTCTTGAAATACATCTCTAAAATTTTATATACATATATATATGTATATGTATTGTATATGTGTATATAGAGTGTATATTTCTTTATATAGAAATTCCCTATATTCTGCATAACAAGACTTTTATCAGTGTAATTTTATGCAGATAACCTGTTTAATCTACTATTTCTCATCTAATTCTACCTTTGTTAATTTAATTTATGCAAAAGCTTTTTAATTGTGTAGTCAAAATGGTCTAGTTTGTCTTTTATGACCTCTATTATCTCATTTAGTTAGGATTCTCTTATTAGGCAGCAAATATGAACTACTTGCCATTCCACTTCCACAGCTGTTAGAAGTCCTGCTCTAGTTAGGACTTATGTTCACTGTGAACAAATCAAGTTCATAATTTTGTGCATTGATGGTCGTCTTTTAAAGCCTATAGCACAAATCAGTCAGTCAATCAACTTATCAGCAAATGTTGTAAAGTATCTACTGTGTACCAAGACATTGTTGATGGATACAAAGACAAAAGTGAGTCATTAGGAGCCAAGATGGCAGAATACAGGCAGCAATCCAGATGAATTCTCCCAATAATATCTTCCAAACAATTTTAAAATAACTCCTCAAATCAAATTTTGCAGTCATAGAGCCAACAAAGGGTCAGAGCAAAACATTTTTCCAGCCTGAGACACGGTCAGTAGGAAACATCTGTGTTACTGGGAAGTGGGGTAGCCTGGGGCAGCTAGATGGCATAGTGGATAGATGACTTGGTTTGAAATCAGGAAGACTCATCTTCATGAATTCAAATCCAACCTCAGACATTTACTAGCTGTGTGACACTGGGCAAGTCATTTAATCCTGTTTGCCTCAGTTTCCTCATCTGTAAAATAAGCTGGTGAAGGAAATGGCAAAACCACTCCAGTTATCTTTGCCAAGAAAGTCTAAATGGGGTCAGACACAATTGAAATGACTGAAACAACTGTACAAGATGAGCAGCAGCAGTAGTGGGCCTTGGGGTGACAGCAGCCGCTGCAATTTCAGAAGCTCTCACCCCAGAGACAGTACAGGAGTTGAACAGCTAAACAGAAGGAGAATAGAGAGGACCATTCGTTGGCACTGGGTGAAGCTGGCACTGATTGACTACTCTATTGCCCATAGGCAATTCTGGGTTGTAGTTCCAGGGTAGAGAGGAGCACTTGTGGTCAGTCACAAGGGAGCAGGGGACCTGGTCACAGTTCTAAGGCAGAGAGTGGTGCACTAGTGCTCAGGGCTTCAGGAGAGAAGTGGACCTTATCACAGTTCTAGGGCCAAGAGGAGTGCTAGAACTTTCAGATGCAAGGGGAGCAGGGACCTATGCTGGGTAAAGACCAGAGCACAGACCGAGAGAGGAGTGACCACACCTCACCCACCTTGTAAGCACT